GGGCAGGCACCCTGGGGAGCTGGGATGAGCGCTCCAGCTGCGAGCTGCCTAGACAGCCCTAGTGTGCCTGACCCAGTGCGAGACTCAGATGCTGTGAGTGCAACACGGCCCAGGGACCTACCCAGGTCCCTACCTGGCCTTGCAGGGCCTTACCAGCCCCATGGGTAGTGAAGTGACCTGGGTGCCCTGAGTCCAGAGTGAGCGAGAATTCAACACATGCTCCAGCTTCTCCTCAGATATCGTATTCTACACCTCATTCAGGTGGTGCTCCTGGAACTCCACCGGGACAGCAGTAGCCCTTAATTCCCCCTTGAGTGTGTGAGCTCAGGTCCCATGTTGTCCCCAGGCAGCACGGTCACTGGAAAGGCACCCTCCACCCTCACATACTTGATCTGGCTGCGTGTGGGAATGTGCACTGTGACTAAAGTACCCCCACCTCTCCATGACCCAGGGTTCAGGGTGGAGACCAGCCACTGGATCAGCTAGTGGACACCACTTATCCCCACCATGTTCTCCTCAAAAAGGCATGGACAATTACAGAAAAAGAGTCCTCTTGAAACTCTATCTTCTAGACTCCCAAAATATTCAGACAAAAAGCCATTTTAAAGCTGAGGTGTGTCCTGGCCTGTTCAGAGAAACTATGCTCTAACTCCATCTTCTAGACACTCAAAATATTCAGACAAGCATAGTGGAAGAGAGATTTTTGTCAAGAATGACCAGAAACCACCAAAGAGGCACAAGAAACATGAGAAACCGAAAAAATATCTCTCCCCTAAGGGAAAAGAACAATCCCTCATCATCCACAGACAGTATAGTAGAACTCGTAGAAATGTCTGATAGAGAATTCAGAATATTCATAGTGACAAAACTAAACAAGATACAAGAGCTGAGAGATAATGAACTCCAGAAAATCCAGGAGAAAAGAGACAACAAGTTCCAGGAGGTTGAAGTTCTTCCATGATCTGAAAGAGGAAATACACACCATAAAAAAAAGAGTCAAATGGAGCTATTAGAGATGAAGGCTGCCATTCAGGAAACCAAAACCTCCCTCAAAAGTATTAAAAGCAGATTAGTCCATGCAGAAAATTAAATCTTGGATGTTGAAGGCAAAACCTCTGATCTAGAAAAAAATAAATAAATAACTGAGAACATAACCCAAAAAAATGAGAATACTATATGAGAAATACTAGACAGCATTAAGCACCCAAACATCCGATAATTGATATCCCAGAAGGTGAGGAAACTAATAAGGACATTGATAATTTACTCCATGAAATCTTGGAAGAAAACTTTCCAAATCTAGAGAGACATTCAAATATCCAGACCCAAGAATTACAAAAGACCCCTACTAGAATCAACTCAGGAAGATCTACTCCAAGGCAAATCATAGCCAGACTGGCCAAATCTACAGAGACAAGATACTAAAATTGGCAAGAGAGAAATGTCAGGTTACTTACAAAGGTTATCTAGTCCGGCTAACCTCAGACCTCTCATCAGAAACAATGCGAGCAAGGAAGGAATGGGAAAATATATTCAAAGTGTTAAGTGAAAAACAGTTTCAACCAAGAATACTATACCCGACAAGATTGTCTTTCCTATGGAAAGAAAGGAAAAAAACATTCTTAGATAAACAAGACCTGAAAGAATTTGCCAATAGCAGACCCACTCTTCAAGAAGTTCTGAAAGGAGTCCTCTACCAGGAAAACTAAAAACACATGCAGAAATAGGAGAACAAAAGGCAACCAAAAAATGACCAATTTAATGCTAAGGACAAGAAATATCAATAATAACGTTGAACATTAACTTCCAGGATTTAAACGGAAAAATTGGAGCAGAGCAACACTGCATATTCAACAGAAGGGAGTTTGAACATAGGACTGAACTTGCAAAATAGAATTTTGTGACTTTTTTTGTTTATTATCATCATAATCTTGTTTATATAACATTGAATTACATATAACTTTACAGCGTATTACATTGCTTTTTCAAAAGGGATTGCCATGCATGTTAGTCAATACAGACATTAAACTCCCCACTTCATTATTCAATAACTTTTCACTGTTTTTTATAATTTTATGACTTTTGAGTAACACATTACTGAATTTTTTTACTATGCTTTATTTTCCCAATTTAAGCACTTTACTTTTTTTTTTTTTTTTTTGGAGAGGTTTTTGCTATAGGGCATGTGTGTGCTCACAGAAAGACAGAAAGAGACAGAGAGACAGAAAACGAGAAATCACCTCCAGGGGGACAGCCACGCTGCAATCCCTTCTCCTCCATTCTTGTCTTGGGATCTTGAATATGCACGCACACACCCCCAGCATGAGTTTAAGCCACCAGGTCTGGGACTTTGACCGTAATCAACTACATGGGAGTCCAGCGACATAGCCATTACACCAGCTGCTGGTCCCAAGCATTTTACTTTCTTTTGAGGTCTTGATAGGTTCAGTAATTTGTTAAAATATGTTTCTTGTTTGTTTCTTTAAATGGAAACATAAACTTTTCTTTCTTCCTGATCCCTCTGGAATTGGAAAATATTTGGGAATATTCTTATTTTATGACAGAAGGCTTATTTGTATAAGTTCAATAATGCTTGTTGCATTGAGTCAGAAATTGGAAATACTCATTATTTCACAGGGCTTTGACTGGAATGTCATACCTGAAGATTAGTCGGAAAACTATGGAACTCAAGTAAGCCAACAGAAGCTCTTAGAAAGATGGCCTGGCACCATAAATAGTTCTGCCTGGCAGAGAAGATTAGAGAATATACATGAAAGAATTTATAACAAAAAATAACTTGGAATTTTCCAGCCCAGCATTGTAATCAGTAGAGATTGTGCAAGAGCAACCACACCAGAGGATTATCTTGAGAAAGACTTTGAAGGAAGAAAAAGAGACTGATCTTTGCCAGCAGATGGTAGATCACAGAATACTTGGTAGGCAGGGCTGAATTGGGAAGGTTTGTGTGTGACTAGTGTGCTGGGCATTTGCTTTTCAACAATTTGAGTAGTTAACATGTAAATATTTTCTCAAAAATATTTAAAACTGTACTGTCTCTGTTGTTATGGAGTCACAAACAAAATTATTTAAAATTGTAAGAAATATTTGAACATTGTTTTTAAAATTCAGTATCTTGAAATTTTGAAAGTTGTTTATTAACTGTCAAGAACTATGGAGTGTGAGCAAAAATTTTCTTATATGTAAAGTAAATGTGGAAAAATGTAAAAATAAATAAATAAATGGAAAAAGAAAAAATTTTTTAAAAAGGTCCCAGCAAAGCCAACTAAATCAATTAGTATTTGTATGGGCATTTGTGCAAATAACAGGAAAAATTGAGACTAAATTTATTTATTTTTTGTAAATAAGGTAAGTTATGCCTCTTTGGTATAAGAGGAAATAAAGAGAGAAAAAAAATGTTTCAGAGAAAATTACAGTGCACTTATTACCAGATTTTACCTTTGTCCATATCTGTTTTTTGAGTTTTTAGTATCTGCCTACTATTTGAACAGAATCCTAACCTTTTTCCTGGCTTTAAGTCTTAGGCAACTTTTTCTTAATACTGTTGTATCTTGACTTATTATAGCTAAAACTGCTTTTCTTGAAATTAAAGAAAATATATTAAATATATATATGTATATATTTAATGACTGCAGTAAGCTGCATAGCCTCAGCTAGGTGCTACTTTATAGTATGTTCATCCTATTCACTGAGTTGTATGCCTAAAGTCAGACATATGTTCACAGATGTTTGTATCTGCCGTACTTGTTATTGAAAGTATTTAGATTAGTTAAGATCCTTTGTGAATCAATAAAATATGAAAAAAAAATTATAAATGACTATTAGTCAGGGATATTATCCATAGTTGACTAATATTAACTAATATTGACCAATGTTGACTTGTTAATCATTATTGTTAGTCAATATTATGGTATATTCATATAATCAAATTTATGTAGCCATTAAGATGTAGATATAGATATAAAATGTCTATGTATAGAAATGTTGATGATAATCTGTATAAAAATATGTTTAATAAAAATAAATAAAATTAATTTAAAAAACAAGAAACAAAAATTATGTGAGAACAATTGTAGATTCACTTTTGAGATTTCTTAAGCGTATCAATTATAGATTAATTGAATTACACATAACCGATCATTTGAAATTCAAAATTTTAAGAATCTTCATATTTTTATACAAAAATATATATTATATATGAAAAGAAGTGGGGCATCTTAATATTCTTTATACAGTGTGTATGGTAGACCCTAAAAAAAAGAGAGCCGAGAGAGTGATGGTTTTTAAACAACTCTGCACCCATCTCCTTTCAGCAAGTGAGTGATTATTCCTCAAGATATACATTACTCAGGCTCTAATGGGGAGGACTAGAAGGCTAGATGGGGGTAAGGAGGAAGTTCTAGTTTATCCTTGCAATTAACATCTGCAGTTGCAAAGAAGTCAAAAAGGCAGTGGACTAAGCTTGAGGAATCAAGGCACCAATGAATGAATGAATCATTGGAAAGCTCACCAGATGGTGCCTTGATTCTGTTGCAGGAGCGTTCTCTCATATACCAAAGTATTATTAATATATTTTCTTAGATAAAACAATATTCAATAACCTTTTTAAAATTTTTTTCCCACCTAACAATACGTTTTTCCACTTCAGTATGTGTGACCTTACCTCTTTCATTTAAGGATCACCTGGTATTCCACTTCATGGCTGGGCCTTAATTAATTTAACTGCCTCTATCCCTGGGTATTTGGTTGGCCATGTTGACTTCAACCTTTCAAGAGAATGGCTCATGTGCCTAAATAAACCATTACATATTGGCTAGAAATATATACCCTTTGCCCCCTGTTTTGGTTTAACTTATCCCAGGAGCAGAAAAAACAAATCTTTCTTTCCCTATACTTATGTTTGTTATTAAATGTAAGCCCTTATGTAATTTTTCCTTTATTCATTTCTTTGTCTTTTGTTTTTGCCTTTCTTCCTTATGCAGTCCTCTACAGCCGGGGACAAGGATGAACCGGCTCTACCGGTAGGAAGCAGTGGCCTGTCTGTACCTGTCCATGTGCCTGTGGGGAGTATGGGGGCAGGGGTGGGAGAAAGAGGGGCTTGTGCTCAACAAATCATCCTCTCCCTTGGAATACTTACATGGCTTAATCCACTGGTGTGTGTGTTTGTGTCTGTATACTCTTATAATGACTGGATCCTGATATTTAATGACAGTATTTCTGGGACCAGATTTCAAAATTTTGAATTCTCATTCATTTGGTATAAGTGTTTATAGGTGTTGAAAAAGAGTGATTTCCAGATTGCATTCCAAGGGATATTGAGCTGGTATTTGAAGACGGCGTGGAATCTAAAGCTTGATATCTGGTTTCTTTGTGTATCCGCATGCACATACTTTGTGATTGGAAATTTCTTTTGGTCCTGTCAAAAGAAATGCTGCATGAGACATATATCAGCGTGATCATAATGCACAAAGGAATGCTTTAAGCTCTTCTATAGATACAATCCTAATCTAATAAAGATCACCACAGCAAATACCTTTCAGTTTTCTAAAATATAGAAAATAGTAACAGTGGTTATGACAAATCAATAACAAGAAACACATTTTCAGTTTCTATCTAATTAGCACATCACATTTATATTGTACAGCATGGTCAGGAAATGACCTTCTGAGTTTTTATGTTCATCTAGCAAGCAGTGATTATATTTTAACTCTGTTCAAGTCCCTTAACCTTGTTCCTGAAATATTTTGAAACATAATCATCCTTTATCACTATATAATACAGTGCATTAATAAATGCTACAGATTTTTAAGGCTAAACAGACAGAATGAATATACATATAACCTCATCCTTTCTCCTACAATGCTCAGGGCCAAGACATGATGGATATGCCAGATCAAGTACTAGGCTGAAGTTTCTTAGAGTGCTAAGGAGCCAGGGTTCCATCTGGGAATCCTGGTTCACACAGTTCTTTAGAGGAGTCATAAACTGGTTCACCCCTGACACACCAGTAATCTTTTCTGATTCTTTTCCAGAACTTGTTGAATTGAGAATATGATTCCTAATAGAATATCGATTATAATAAAATCACAGTAAGAAAGTCAGATTTCTCTATGAATCTCATACATTGATTTTACTCTTGCTTCAAGCTTACTGCAGGTTTCATGATTGCTTCCAAATGTGTGGACTATGATTGTTAACAAGTATTTTACAAAGTAAGAGACCAATGGGCAACAGTTTGGAAATACTGCCCAAGTTAATCAAGTTAACCAGGTTTCTTTCGTATTACATTTAGTGATCTACTATGTATTTTGAAACGCTATAAGTGTGTTGGTCTAGGATAAAACACTTTCCAAATGTATTTGAACATGGAGTCTCCTAAAGAAATCCCTTTTGTGGGTCTGGACTGTGATGGAGTATTTTAGAAAATCCTTTAATATAGAAGGTTGGAAGACATTGTGGAAAATAGTATTTTATTTTTATCTGACCCCAGAAAAATTTCATGTCAAACTTTTAGATTGAAAACTCAATAAGCAATTAATACCCTTATACCACTCTCCCTTTTAAATGTGTTTATAAAGCTTGGCTGCCTCTGAGCATCTTCCCCTGAGAACCAGCACAAAATCCACAAAGGAGAAAAAAGCAATTCCTAAGTAGGATAAAAATCTGTTAAAATACAAAGGGCTTAGATAGGATTTTTTTTTAGATTGTTTGCTTTTGAAGACAAAAGGAAAAACATTTTGTTGGCAACTTTAACTCCAGAAGTTCATTCTTTCTCTCTCTTATCAGTTCTACTCATTTAGCCAAAGGACTACAACTCATAGGAGTTTGTGCAGAAAGGGCCCCCTCAAAGACAGGAGGGTTTTCCATGGATTTATGAAAGGAGATCTATCTTTCCAAATCTCACTTAACACAAATCATCATGCATTCTGGATGCCGCTTCAGTACCCAGGACCACAGTAAATATGAGATAGCCTAGGAGATGTGCAATGTAATCCTTTGGGAAGCAAGGAGAAAATATTAGCACCTCTGTCATTTACTTTCTGTATAATTCTTCACTCTCGTTTTTGAAACTGTGTTTTATATACTCCTATTTTAGTATGTGTATCTATATGGAAGATACACGTTTGTGTGTGTGACCCATAGATATGTGCGTAAGATCCATTCCTCTCCGCTCCACTTCTTGTCTGTGCAACTCGAACAACCCATTTCTCCTCTCTGAGACTATGTTTTCTCATTTTTCTAAATGGAATAATAGCAGAATCTACTTCAAGGGGTTCATTCTAAGAAGGAGACAAAGGAATGGGTGTGAAGCATATTGCACATTGCCTGGCATTTACTAAGCTTAAGAAAATAAAAAAGAATCAATTAATTCATCTAGTAGACAGTGGCATGAAAAAGTCATTCCCTTGGGGAGTTTGAAATGTACTTTGAAAATCCTTGGTTCAATAGTGTGACAGAAATGCATGGCCACCAGACTAGGTGAGGCTCTCATCTATAATGCACTTGCCTTTCATTTCTGGGAACTAACAGCATCTTTGGTTTCTCTGCTCAGGCTAAGCCGCGTCTCCAGCGAGGTGGAAGTTCTGCCTCCCTCCACAACAGTCTCATGAGGAATAGCATCTTCCAGCTTATGATACACACGCTTGACCCACTCGCCGAAGGTAAACATCAGGCTTTCACTGGGAGCTTGTGTGGGGGGAAGGAGGATGTCAAAGGCTTCCCTCCATAAAGCATGTTTATGCTGTCACCACACTAGCCTGCCAACATCCCCTTGTTAGCATCTGCCAAAGGAAGCCCTGGGCCTTGGATGTGCTTTATCTACAACAGCTCAGTTCATGATTGGTGGTGTTTGTACCAGGAGGAGGATGTGAGGTCTGTGTGCTGAGTCTGTCTTTTGATGCCTCTGGCATAAACAGAGTTTTCTAGGAGGCAGAAAGGACAGAAAGGCTTTCCTCCCTGATGGCTAGAGTAAAATTCCTTATTTATGATCTTTTCTAAGTTTCAAAGCAAGGTTGTGTGTGAAGATAAATTCTATACTTTAAAAAAGAGAGAAAGAGGGGCCAGCAGATGGCATAGTGCTTACATCACTGGACTCCCACATGTTCAACTGTGGTTCTAGTCCTGGACCCAGAGGCTTAAAACTCACACCGGGCAAATGTGTGTGAGTGTGCAAGATCCTGGGAAGATAATGAAGGAGAACGAATTTTGTCATGTCCATCCCCCCCTCCCGGTGGGTGATTTCTCACTTTCCTTCTCTCTGTCTCTCTCTCTCTTTTGAGTGTACATGTCCTAAGGCAAAACCTCTCCAAAAACAAAAAGAGAGAGAGAATAGAAAAAGAGCTCTATGATTTTGGAGAGTCAGAAGTTGTTTTGGGAATGATGTTCATGGAAGAACATGGATATTGAGGTTATGCTGGCTTTTTGACAATCAAAGGAAGGGAGGTGAGCGTCCAAGCTCTAAGTGCACTCAAAGATGACCATGTGGGATCAGTCACTGGAGATCCATGAGACCCAGTTCACTTCCCAGGGTATTTATAGAAACCACCGCAAGAGCCCGGTAATATATACTTCTAGTTTCAGTCAATCATAATGAAATCAGCACATCATGTTTCTTCCATTGTTCAAGTATCCTAAAAAATTAATTTTGTAAGTACATAGATATCTGACATGTCAAATAATTATCAGAACTTTGCCAGTGTTGAGGGGTTCAAATGTGTCCTAGCCTGTTCTCCCTTCATCCCTGGCCCTTGTAATCAGGCCTGACGTTACACAGAAGCTAATTGCAATCACAGGGAGAGTGTGCCTGGGAAGCCGATGTGTGCCACTGAACAAACACATGGAATCTGATTGTCTAATCATGTCACGTAAATCAGAGACCTTATCTAATATCAAGCTTTGCTAGGTCATTTCAAAGGTAGGGACTACCCAGAGATTCAGATGACTTAAAGAAAAACCTGGAGTCCCAAGATTGACTCTTCAGGGCCTACCTCTCTCATTGGATACACACTAGGTGAGGCTCGCAGGGTCACCTCTCACTGCAGAGCATGGGGCCTATCAAATATGAAACAACTCCCTATTGTTCCCCAGAGAAGCCTTGCTTTGTAGAGTCTGAGAACTATTAACCAGAGGTAACCTTAGCCAGGGGCATCCCAAAAACTTCATTTGACCACGGCATTAGACTGGTCACCAGATTTCTCTTTTCCCCAAGACACATTCCCAGAGAAAGAAGCAATCCCTCTTTCTCTTCCTCCTCACCACTGAGCAGCTATGGGACTTTGGGCAAGTTAGGGTCTTTCTGGTGCTTAGCTTCTTCAGTGATGGGAATAGTTATCTTTGGCAAAGTAAACATGCTTCACAAGAAAAGTTCACGTTAACATTGTTGTTCTCCTTTCACAGAATATTGTACAACCAACATAGACCTCAAATTGATCTACCTGTCCTCCTCTGCCTGCACTTTATTCCAAGTCATCTCCATTGCTTGCCTGGATTCCTGCAATAGCTTCCTAGCTGGCTTTCCACTTCCATTACCTCTGCTTATACGTATTTCAACACGGCAGCCCCAGTAATCGTCTTAAAAAAGCAAATCGGGTTATGTCACTTCTACTTATAACCTTTAGTGGCTTCTCAGGGCTCTTAGGAAAACTGCAAAGTCATTACCACAGTCTATATGATCTGCCTCTTACTCCAAACCCAAATTGACTCACTTTGTTTTAGCCACAGAGGACTTTCTGACCTCAGACAGGTATCTTTTCCCTGCCTCTGGGTCTTTGCATAGGCTATTCCCTACAATAAAACACTTTTCCTTCCTCCCCACCTTCTTCCACTTCTCTCTGCTTTTTATTCCTGCCCATTCTTCAGTTTTCTGTCCAAATAGCACTTCCTAACCACGGAGTATAAGTTAGAGGAGCCAATCCTCATCTCTCAGTGCACTCTTCAATTGTTCTTTATTGCTCATGTTACAATTTGCGTGATTGTTTATTGCCTGTCTCTGCCCAGACATGTAAGTTTCATGAGAGCAGGGACCTGTTTTATTCACTGACTGTCCCAAAGTCCAGCAAAAACCTGGCTCATAGTAGCTGCTAAGATTAAACAACTTAGCTGAAGTCATGACATTGACCTAGTACTCACACAATTCCACAGCCTTCTAAAGTTCCACTGATTTAAGATTATAAACAAATTATATCTTGGTTGTTCTAAGCACCCACTTCTCCACCCCATTGCCCCAGAGAGCTAGGTCAGAAAAGAAAGGAATGGTTTAGTTGTTCCGATTCAGTTATGAGCAAGCAACTGAGTGTATTTATTTTTGGCAAAGGAATAGGTAGTAATGAAGAGGACCAACTTCAGAACCAGACTCTGGGTCCAGCTCCGAGTTCTTCATTTACTAGCTGTGTGACCTCGCACTAGTTACTTAACCTCCTTGTAACTTGATTTCCACATCTATAAATCAGGATGCTACATAATGATATATGCATTGTAGAGCTGAAAGGATTAAAGCAGTGAACATGTATAAAGATTTAACACACAGCTTAGAACATCATCAGAACCAATTCAGATTTGAAATTATTGTTTCCTTATTTTTTGAGTAATAATTCAACACATTCTTTTTTTAAAAAAATTCAACATACATGGTGAAACAAAATTCTCCCTCCTACATCAACCCCAGTTTTCACCAGTCCCTCAGTTCTCCCCAGAGGAAATCACAGTTACCCATTTCTTGAGGCTCCTTCCACAGATGTCAATCAGAGACAATTGTGTGTGAGTGTGTGTGTGTGTGTATGCCTGTGTGTGTCTTTGCCCACAGGTCTCAACGATCTAAGTTTCTCTGTTTTTTTGTTTAGAGGAATTTTAGTTTCTGGTAGGGCTTGTTTTCGTCTTTTCTGTTAGGAGGGGAGGTTATGTTTTGTTTCTGTGAGATAAGAGAGAGTGAATCTGGGTTGTCTCAGAGTTGGGCCATCAGTGATTTTCCAAAACACCTGGCGCTTGTGGTGCTGCACTGCAATTAAACTGTTTGTTCCTGCTGTAGCAAGATGTGCCTTCTGAATCCGGCTTTCAAGGTGAAACCTCTCCCTGAAAGACGTGGAGGGCTCCAGTGGTGTGAGTCTGAGAGACGCTGAGAGTCATAATCAGTTCTGGACTTGAGTGATTAGAAAATATGGAAAGCACTTCAATGCTTTAAAATTGCTCCATAGCATGCGGCCAAGAAAACAGATTGCTCTGGTATTTTTCCCCAAAAATTCATGATCATTTTCCATTCCAAGAACAGCAGAAAAAAAAAAAAAATTAACCCACAGCTCTCAGAAATAGTCATCTCTTTTTTGCTTGCATCTAATCACTTGAATTTATATGTCCTCCTGCCAAACGACCACCTTGTAAGAACGTGGAGCATGCTGGTTATTATCACCAGGCTGACAGCGTGGACACTGCACTGAAGGACAGCTCACTGACATTCCTGGCGATCACCTCACTGAGGGTGCTCCAGCACCACAGGCATACATCAGTATTCACAAAGGGAAGTGTTCAACTTTAGTTTAAAATACCGTCTAGTAGAGGTAGCCCATGGAAATACATTTCCCTCTGTCTCATCTGTGCCACTCAGGTGTGTTTGTCATCCAAAATCCAGCAATTAAGCCCTTTAAAAGCCTCCACCAGTAGTTGGTTCAGCCTGTGAACCAGAGTCACAAGGTCCAGCAGTGTTCATGTTTCAGTTATCTATTTATGTGCACCCCAAGCACCCCAAGACTTAGTACCTTATAGCCACCATCATATTATTGCTCATGATTTTATGTATCAAAACTTTGGGCAGCAATTAACTGAGTGGTTCTCATTTCCTGTGACCTCAGACAAAGTCATTTAGTGGCACTAATAGGTGAGCTAATGATCCAGAAGAGCCTCACTCACATGTCTGGCACCTTAAAGGCACAGCTGGAAAGCAGGGCTCAGCTCAGCTACTGACTTTCCATGTGGTCTCTGCCTTTCCACATGGTCGGACTCCTTATATGGGGACTCCGGGCATCTTTCCTCCAGGTAGAAGCTGTAAAACTTAGAATGACCTAGTCTGAGAACCCCAGGGTGTCACTTCTACTGCATTCCATCAGCCAAGCAATCACTGAGGCCAACTAGATTCAAGAGGAGAAGAATGAGGTTCCAGTTTTCAGTAGGTAACTCCCAAAATACTGAAACTGCCTTTAATCTAACCAGGCTGTTTTTGGGCCACAGAGTCATCACTGATGATTCATCTCATTGTTCATTTGTGCACTCTGGGCAGGCCACACTGTGTGGAAGGGACAAAGCTGCAGTGGACCTTCCTAGGCAAAGGTTTAGTCTAAACAAAACTAAGCAATGCCTTTCCAGGAAAGAAAAAAATCTATAACAGGGCACTCTTCTTGAAAAGAAGCAATCTGCTTAAAGCTCGTATGAATGGTTACAATAAATATTCTGTTTCTTTTATAAGATATCCCTGGGGAACTAGAATGATAAGTCTTTGGGATCACTGCATGACTGTCTGAATTGAACTTTCTAATAAATTCAGTGTCCTGTATCGAACTTAACATTTTCTCTAAATGAGACATTATATTTACACAGGTGTGTATCTTTATGAACCTGAAACAAGGAGGCTACATATAGCACTTTGAGAATGAGCTTCTACTTATTAAATTGTCTA